CCCTGCCATCCATGTGAGAAATTCAGCCAGCTACTGGCTTCTGCAGCTTTTGCAGGCATTTGAGGATTGAACCAGTGGATAGAAGATCTTTGTCTGTCTGCCTCTGTCTCCCTCTCTCCTTGTATTTCTGCCTTTCAAATAAACTGAAAGTACATAGTAAGTAAATAAATGTTAAGTACTAATGTTAAATTTATTTTGAGTTTGCTTATCATTTTCTTTTTACTAGAAAAAAAAACTTTTCATGGAAAATTAGTAAATTCTTCAGGTAGGACCGGCGCCGTGGCTCAATAGGCTAATCTTCCGCCTGCGGCGCTGGCACACCAGGTTCTAGTCCCAGTCGGGGCACCGGATTCTGTCCCGGTCGCTCCTCTTCCAGTCCAGCTCTCGGCTGTGGCCCAGGAGTGCAGTGGAGGATGGCCCAGGTCCTTGGGCCCTGCACCCGCATGGGAGACCAGGAGAAGCACCTGGCTCCTGGCTTCGGATCCGCGCGGTGCACTGGCCACAGCGGCTATTGGGGGGTGAACCAACTAAAGGAAGACCTTTCTGTCTCTCTCTCTCTCACTGTCCACTCTGCCTGTCAAAAAAAAAATTATTCTTGTATTACAAGTTATATGAGATTATACCTATTGAGAGAAAATAAACAACTCATACCCACTCCAAACACATGTAAATTATTGCCATCTTTTGCAACTCACAACTTCTAGAAGTCAAGTCTACAACAACTTCCAGAAAAGCTGGGATGAATATCCTGGTACAGTGGGATAAACCTCCACTTGGGACACCTGCATCCCCATATTGGAGTGTCAATTCTGCCCTGCTCCTCTACTTCTGATCATCCACCTTCCTTGGGAGGCAGCAAGTGATGGCTCAAGTACTTGGGTCCTTGCCATGAACAAGAGAGAATTCCACCAAGGTGTGGTTCCTGGTTCCTGGCTTTGCGCTGGCCCAGTCCAGGATGTTGTGGGCATTTGGTTATAACCAACAGATGGAAGATTCTCTCTCTCTCTCTCTCTCTCTCTCTCTCTCCCCCTTCTCTCTCTATCACTCTGCCTTTCAAGTAGATAAAAAATAAATTCAAAAAAAAAAAAAAAAGGCAGAGTGCTGTAGTCTAGACATTCCGATCAACAAGACTTCTAAAATTCATGGTCTTGCAGCTTAAGAGAGTAGTTCCAGCGGTAGGTGTTACAGTGCACAGGGTTAAGTATTCCATATGGGAGTGATGATTTGAGTCCTGGCTCCTCTGCTCCTGATACAGCTTATTGTTAATATGTCCTGGGAGGCAGTAATGATGGGTCAAGTGCTTGAGTCCCTGTCCCCCATGTGTGGTCTCTTACAACTATGGTAGAAGAAGAATTTTGTGGGGAGCAACCCGGACTAGACTAAGTTACTGGAATTAAGACTTATTCTATGCATCTGCTCTCCCACAATATGGCGCTGGGAGAGGAGAAAATAGCTTCTACACAGCTGCCTCCAGTTCAACCAACAAGCTGCAAGACCTGCTCCTGATTGGAGTAGAGCAGCATACTCGGCATGTGGGTAGCAGAGTTGGGATTGGTGGAGGAGGACTATAAAGGAGGAGAGAGACAACATGCACGAGGAACGTCTATCTGAAGGAACACCTGTGCAGCCCCCGAGAAGAGCCGGTCGGCGGTGTGCTGCTCCCCCGCGGAAGTGGGGAAAGTGGCTAGGGGGAACCGCCCTTCCACGGAGGTGGAAGGGATGGTAGCCAACCCGGGAAGAACCAGCAGCAAACCCGGGGAGGGCCGAGCAGACGAAAGAACAGCGCAGGGTCCTGTGTCGTTCCTCCACGAAGAGGGGGAGCAACAAATTTACTAATAACTTACAACGTCTAGTATAAAGAAAATGATCAGAAAATTCAAAATGAAACTGACATAACACCTCTTAATTTTTTTTCTTATTATTTTCACTTTTTTGGAAAGGCCGAGAGAATGAGAAAGAGAGGGACAGGGACAGATAGCCTAGATAGAGTTCCAGGCTCCTGGCTTCTGCCTGGCCCAGCCCTCCCTCACTTGTTGCAGACATTTGGGGAATGAACTCTCTCTCTCTCTCTCTCTCTCTGTTTCTGTTACTTTGCCTTTCAAAAAAAATAAGTAAACACTTCCAAAAAATAGTAACTCCACTCAAAAGTCACTCTGGTTATCAAATCTAAAATGTGTTCATAATAAAAACACAAAAATGACTTTAAAACACAACTTAAGAATTCCACAGCTTTATTTAAGAAGTGCTACTTAAGCTATAAAGCATTTCCTGTCATTTTTGTTTTCAATAATTTTGTAATATTCTTTTGCTCTTGGGTTACTCTGTATCCAAATGCTCATATATGTAAATGACTCAATACAACATTGGATGCCCCAAAAATATAAACATTATTGTTTATCCAGAAGCATTATGTGTTCATGCAAAAATTGCATTAAAAGCTTGCGGTCAGATCAAAAACCCACAACTGTAATTGTTTATTTATAAAGCTCACCATTACTCTGTAGTGTAAGTTTATATTTTTTAAAATTTCCAAACAATGTTGAGTTGGTCTTAGAAGAGTGAAAAATGCAAGGTTTGCCTAAATGATTAAAGACAAACAACTTAGGTCTACACATGCAGCAAGATGCTTTAATATGGAAATTATTTACTTTGCCAGGGTTTATAGTTTTCATTTTTGTGCTGCCCTTGAAACTCCATGATAACATGGCCATTCAGCGGAATTTCTGCATTTTTCTCTTCGTTCAGGGCAGCTGGTTTCTTTCCTCTCTAAGTAGAAAGCTAAAGTATATTTATCACTCTAACAGTGACTCAAAACAAACAGGAAGTCTTCATCAGCCGGCTCCTGGGCATAGCTGATATTAGGTACTGGCCGAAAGGAAACAGAGACCTCATTCTCTAGGGGTCCGACAGAATGGACATGCAGATGTGGGCGATAACAAAGTTAGGGATGCTCCAAATGACCACCGTGTGCTCCCAAGATTAAGTGCTGGGGCCGTGCTCGCCAGCTTCCAGAGTCTGCGAAAATTCCTCGGGAGTTTTCCTTTCCAATTCAGTTTGAAAGAGAAGTTTGCACTGGATTCCATGAGCCTTAGACTCCTTGTGAACCTATGCGCCAAAGGAAACCTGGGAGGGAGCTATTCTGGGCAATTTGGCTTTGATCTGGTTGCTAGGAAAAAGCCCTGCTTTTGTCTGCAAGTATTCTGAATGGCTCCTTCAGTCAGAACGAGGCCTGCAGGTCACTGTCTGAATTAAGTGAAGAGGATTTTTTTAACGCTAAAAATGAAGCTGTCGCTGTATGCCATCATAAAGCCGGCGAGAGTGGGCTGTGTTGCCGTGTGATGGCAACGGCTCCGTGCTGCAACTTAAACTCCAAGGTATATTGTGAAAATCACTGAAGCGTGCTTGCAGATCAAATATATGCAAATATTCCTCAGTGGCACATATGTTCCTAGAGACCTTCCCCTTCACCTCCTTTTCAAATAAAACCTGTTTCAGATTCAAAGCCCACTTTGTTTTTGTTAATACAAATGTTCACAATCAAACAATTTTTTTAACCTCATAAATAAATAGAAAGGTCAAACTCTCACACCTAACTTTTTTTCTAGCCAAACCAAACTCAGAAGGGATTGGACTGCAAACCACTGATCCTAATTCTAAATGATTAAGCAATACACTCTGGGGGGTCCTTTAAATATCTTCCTTTTTATTTGTTCACTAATCCCCTTGTTTATGATAATGCATGTACCTTTGTATAAGGACTTTGCAACCATTATCTAATCTTCACCGATCCTGTTGAGGTAGGAGGAGAGCAAATCTTATCTCCACTCTACAGATGAGAAAACAGAGACAGGGGAGGTTGAGTAACAAGCACACATTTTATGTGACACATTCTGTCCAGATGCAAAAATGCCAGTAGAACATGGACTTTGTTTTTTCAGTAGCCTGTCTGGATTTTCACCTACTAGTCTCCTTTATGACCAGTATCTCTTTGTGACTGCATGGACCCGCCATACACTCTGTTAGGAAAACATGCAGCTAACTGATCCACATGAGAACCACACCCTTGACCTTGGCATCACTGGCATGAGGTGCCAATGAACTGAACCACAGCCTGAAAACCTCAGTGGCCCCAAAACAGAATGAGCCAACGGGAGCATTCCATTGCTTCCCATCTTACTCATTTTGAAATAGGAAAGAAAGGGTCATTTCTATGAGTTTTCCGATTTTGTTCTCTCTCACATTTAAAGTGTATTTTGCACTCCAATGAAATTCTAAAACATGAATAATAAATACAAAAATAAAGAAGCACTAAGAGGTAAACTATACACATAAACATTTAATTTTTTTAATTTTATTTATTTGAAAGGCAGAGTAACAGAGAGAGTAGGAGAGTCGGAGACACAGAGAAGTCTTCCATCACCTGGTTCACTCTGCAAATTGTCACAATGGCCAGGGTTGGGCCAGGAACTCCATCTGGATCTGCTACATGGGTGGCAGTGGCCAAGCACTTGGATCATCTCCTTCTTTGCCGGGTACATTAGCAGGAAGCTGGATTGGAAGCAGAGGAGCTGGGACTTGAACCAGCACTTGGATATGGGATGCCAGCATTGTAAGCAATGCTGTGTCACAACGTCAGTGCCCCAAAAATATGTAATTTTGAGAAAAAAAATTAATGCGGGGAAAGTGTACTGAAGCTAGTGCCTATAGAACCATTGTATCATTACTAGTATAAAGTGGCTCTTCACTCATGTTTGAACTGTAGAACTACATAATGACAATGAGAAAATTTAACAATAAGGAGGTCCCTTTTCAAAATAATCCATAAGCTGTACTTTGGAAATTTATATTCATTAAATAAAAGTTAAAAAAAAATAATCTCCAATGAAAGAAGAGAGGACCTTCTTTCTCAGAATAACTTAAAGCAACAATATATTCAATACTATTGGACAATTATTTTTTATATTATTAATTCATTATATTATTATTCATTATATTAATAGCTATTATTCACTATATTATAGGTACCACCTGTAACAGCCAGGTGATGGGGGAATCATCTCCCCTGAAAGGACTGGGGAAATGCTGATTTTATGAGAGTGCCTTCCAGACCTTTCAGAAGCAGGAAGGCAGCTTAGCCTATCTTTTGGAACGTAAATTACCCTTCAGACCACCTGGCAAAAAACTCCTGAAGTGCAAACCAGACATCCCTGCTCAAAGAAGCTCATCCTGGAAAACAGAAGTGTCTGCAGGATAGTCTAACTTCTCCCTGGTTACCTGTTTACTTACTCAAATTTCCTTTCCAACTGCACATACAGTTGTAGATCTGTGAACTGCATTTTGTGAACACTGCAAAAATTTCTTAAACCTACCTCAGAAAGCCACAAAACAAATCTAGGTTTGAACATCAAATTGATGATTCCTGAACTCCCTCACTACGGGACTTCTCATGTATTGAGCCCAATTCTGAATGTGGACAGGGACCAAATCGATTTCCAGGATGCATGTAATGGCATCAGGCTAGCAGTATCAACAGCCAGCTACACAAAGTTCTTCAGGTAGTGTGGAGAAACAACTCCAAAGACACCCTGCTGAGCAGGGTCCAAACCTTTGAGCTTGGTCTGTCTACCCTTGCTTATTCACTGCTGCCTTGGGCAAATGTTCCAGCAACCTGGGAGGACATGACATTAATTTCCCAGTGTGTCACCATATCTAGAGCAATCAAGCAAGAGCCAAAAATGAATTAGCTTGAGAGGAGGCTTCAGGCACACATTCAGCAGGTTTGCAACTTACCCTTTTTATCCTTCTTACCTATTTAAGATTCTCTTTTCAAACACAGAAGAGAACTTTATCAATCTTAAACTAAAGAAAACCAATATTTGCTTTCCATGTTTGGTTCATAGCCAATTATGCAAAATGCTTAATAAAACAATCCTTTTTTAAAGTTATTAGCAATTTATTACAGGATTATTAGTTTCAGTGATGACAATTTCATTGTTAGATCTGAGTTGACTTAAGACAATTTTTTCCTGGAGACCTCTTTGTCATCAAATTGAGTCACCTTATTCCTTCTGTCCTAATACACAACTGTTCCTGTTATTCTTTGAATTAATTTGGATAAGAGCCTTCTGCAAAAACCATCTTTCTGGATCCACAACCGCCTCTCTGAGCATTTGTTAACACATTACATTATACTAAAGTGAATCCACCCACCAGAAATTAGACAATCTTTCCTAGTTTTAATATTTTTTGAAGTCTCACATAGTGCTAATCACAATGATTCCCAGACCAGGTTTTATGAGAGCCTGGGATATATCTCCCATGACCTCACAGATCATGAAAACCAAAACTCCAAGAATTTTTCAGCACAAAATTAATTATGGTTTATTTTAATTTGAAATATATATATATATACACACACACAGAGAGAGAGACTCACACAGACACACACACATACATGGATATATTTCTGCCATTGGAGGTAGGAAGCATGTGACTTGGTGGACCGCAGCACTGTAAAACAAGCGACAATAGTCTATTGAAACTCCTCAAAGCTCACAATCATTATGCCCTCCCAAAAAAGAAAAAAAGAAATGCTATTCTTATTCCTAGGAATGTAAATTCTAACACACACCTCATGACAGGCACAAAAAGGAAGCAGGACAAAACCCATTCCAGGACATTTCCTCAAGAAGAATAAAAATAAGGTGTGTCACACATTGTCATGAATAAAATAAACACGATAATATCTAACAACACCATTACACCATTCAATGTGCCTAAATTACAGTTGTACCAAGAAATGAGAAAATCTCTGGAATGGGACCAGGATTGCTTTTGAATTGTCCATTAAAAAAGCAAAAAATAAAATCGGCTGCAATGATTTCCTTTTGAGACCATTCACCTTATTTTTAAAATACAAAATCAAAAACATATTGAGACGCATGGTGACGCTGGGCAATAAAACCGAAGCAAACTGTCTCCTTTCCCCAGCTCAGGCTCAGCAGCTACAGCAAGCCCACAGTGCCAGCTTGAGACTGGCAAGGCAACTAGCACTGCACAAAACAAAATCTTTGCTTTTCAGTTCTGACCGATTCCACTGAGAGCATCATTCTCACCTCACCTTTTTTTCCCCTCTTTCTCTCTGAATTGAGATTTTCCTATCTGGGGATATCCTTCCATTATGTGATATGTCTCCTAAGCCAATGGAAAACAATGACAATTTTATTTTCACATTAACATTCCTCTCCCAGAGCCATATTCCATGAATGAATGGCTTGTAGGACACACCACTAATAATAAAATCCAGCAACTGTGCCAACACAAGTGCAAGAAAAGCAAAGGAAAGGGAAGGCAGGCCGAAACAATTCTCCCATACCTACCGTGGCCAATTCCTTCCAAGAAAGCTGTGGAATTTGCTTGCTTATTCACATGCTTGTTTGTCAGTAAGGTATTCCTCTCAGAAAGTAAAAACAAATAGCTCCAACAACCTCTTCCTCGTCTTGAGATCACTATTGCTACCAGAAAATAAACTTGTAAACTTCATCTGTTAAGATACTTGAGAACTATACTCAAGAAAATCTACTAATATTTGTTGAAGGAGCAATCCTATACTAGCTAGGAAAGGAACTGGAAACAAGGAGGTCATTTCCCTTTCAAATTTAAATGTCACCATGAAATACTGTAGAAAAATCAAACACATCTAGAGTGATTGCTCATGTCAGAAACTCAACTTGTCTGACCTCTCCAACACTTGTACCCTAATGTTGCTGTCACAGAATAGCCTGGATTCCAAAGAGCATGCCGGCTGAGCTTGCCCGCATCTCATGGATTAACTGAGACAATTTTCTACTCATTTGAATCTCAGCCTTGTTTCACCCCCTGCAACACTCAAGTCCACCTTCCCACCATCAAAAGCTGGTATGCGAGAAGTCAACAACTTAGTTAACTGTAGAAACAAAACCTATTTAGAAAATATAGCCACGTGATTTATTCTGCAAATATATCACTCATTAGATGAAATGTAAGCTTCTACTCATTACTCAAGCTGTCCTCACCTTTATTCTTTCTAATTGTCTTCTTCCATTCAAATATTCATTGAGCATCTACTATGTTTGAAGCACTTTGCTGGGCACTGAGTTTGAAGCACTGAGCAAGCCAGTGCTAATCCCATTCTTTAGAGCCAAAATTCTTCCAGAGACAAAAAATAGAACAAATATGTATTATTTTTAATACTTTCATAAAATTATAAGAACTTTGCAGAAAATATTGGCTACAAGGATAAAGACTTATTTTAAAATGTTATTTTAAATATGAAGACAGTGATCTTTCTCTTAACAATTGAGGAAGACACTTCTGGCTGATTTTTCAGAGATGGACTGTCTAAGGCTAAGATATTTGAGCTGCTTTATGCTGGAAAAGGCCAGATTTTAAAAAAAATTAATAAAAATGCCCTAATATGAACCCAAGGAACAGAAAAGAGGCAGGAAGGCTACATCATAATGAAAGAGCCAACTGAGGTAAGGCTGGAAATTTGAGAGACTTGGAGGTAGAAATTTACTCTAAATGCACTGGGCAGCCCTTGGAGGATATTAAACAAGGAAGTGACTTGATCTGATTGAGGCTTTCAAACAGCAGAGCATCGGCTTTCTGGGGAGCCTAATGAAGAATTGAAGCAAAACAGAGTGGGAAGGGGAAATGGGATCAGAAACAACTGTTATTTGACTTGAATAGTGTTGTGGATGGTGGGCTATTAACTAAGGCAGACAACCAGAGCACTATAAGGTCTTTAAGACTAAAAATTTATTCCTTCAACCGTATGTTCCCAGGTGGATTTTTTTTTTAGCATTTTTAACATTCCTCATTTGTTTGTATTCTTTTCTCTTATATAAATTTCAGTATTCTAAGTTGTTTGCATGCTAGTCGATGCCATTTCCACAAATGTCAAACTCTGACTTAAAATCCAGTTCATCATCACAGTGTTTGGATTCAAGTCCTGGCTCAAATTCTGATTCCAGTTTCCTGTTAATGCCTCCCAGGGAAATGCAAAACATTTGAAGACTCAAGCATTTGGTTCCTTGACACCAATGTGGCAGACCTGGGTTGAGTTCATGGCTCCTGGTTCCACTTTGTCCCAACCCCAACTGTTGCAGGCATTGGGAGTGAACCAGCAGACAGATCACTCTCTCTCTCTCTCACTCTCTCTCTCTCTCTCTCTTTCTCCCTGTCTCTCTTTCTTCCCCTCTCCCTCCCTCTCTCTTTATTTAAAAATAAAAATTAAAAACACTTTTCAATCCCATTCATCTTAGAAGTCTCTGCTAGTTGAAACTTTCTTCATAATGATTATCCTTCATCAACACTCTTAGCTTTTATTACAAATCTTTAACTCTGCTTTATACTCTGCTCCTACTATACTTAGACCAGATTCCCCAGCTTTCCTCTGTTTTTCAGTCCCCAACGGCCCACCTCCCAACTGTACCCCCTGCTTATTCCCAATGCCCCACCAGGTTTGTGGAATTCAAGCCTAAGCTCCTCCCACACACAATAGTTCTCAAAGTGGCATTTCCTCCCTGTCACACTACCTGCCTGTCCTTTAGAACTCGGATCATGTGTACCTTTCCAAGAGAATGGCTTTTGACCCCTCCCCAATTAAACATGATTTCTCTGGCCCCATCCCCTAGGAGGCAGTGAAGTATAATGGGTGAAATCTCCAGCTCTGGGATCAGCCTGGCAGGTGCAAGTTGTGTGTCCACCCTTAGGTAATTTAATCAAATGTGCAGTTCTTTGCTGCTTCATCTGGAAAGTAGGAGGAAAGCAGGGAAGGTGCAAGAAGAATCCTTGCCTTATAAAGTACTGTGAGGATCAAGTGAAGCAACTCACCAAAATCTGTGTCATGTCATCTGGCAGGACAAAACAAACGGTCTTCATATTTTGATATTTTTGTCATTTTCATTTCAGTGTTGCTTGGCTGTCCTGTGAAAATAAGTCTTCTTTCTATCATAAACATCTTTAAGCCCATAGATAAAAAGCTTTGTTTGGGTATAATGGTGTCTTCTTCATCCTTATATTTGGTAGATATTTATGAGTATTTTTTAAAAGGCTGTTTATTTCATCTATTTGAAAGGCATGGTAGGATGGAGAGAGAGAGAGAGAGAGAGAGAGAGAGATATCATCTGTCCACTGATTTACTCCCCAAATACCTGCAAGAGCCAGGAATGGGCCAGGTCAGGAGCCCAGAACTCCATTCAGGCCTCCCACATCGGTAGCAGAGTTCAAGCACTTGAGCCATTATCTTTGTCTCCTAGGACAGATTAGCAGGAAGCTGGATCCAAATGGTACTCTGATTTGAGAAGTGGTCATCCTAAATGGTAGCTTAACTCACAGCACCACAATATCCACCCCAAAAGACTTTCATCACTTTTATTCAAATAGGTTGATTAACCTATAGGTAGAAATAGTGTCTTTTTGCTTCTTATTTTTAAATTCTGTCTTACCTAGTGTGTGCGTGTGTGTCCAGTGTACAACATATATTCTTTTTTTTTTAGTTTTCTGAATTTAGAAACCCTTGAACAATCAATATAATTAATACATATATCATGTTAGATTCACCAATGACATTGCTTTTAAAAAGTATCCTAAACATAAGTAATTCTCATAATAGAGCATCATTGCAGCTCACAAGAATCTTCAGTCCTCTAAAGACCCATAGTGAAGCAGGAGGCTTCTGTTAGTGACATGTGTGCTCTCATCAACATCGATTAATATTTATTGAACAAAGCACACATACAGCACACTATACCTTGTGTTTTGTAGATTTTTTAAATACAAGACGCTATCTCTGTTTTCTTACATGTCAAGAAAGACAATGTCCCTGACCCCAATAAATAATAGAAAACACACAAATCTCAACAAATATATGGATTGTAGCATATCTCATCTCATGTACGAAGGGAAACCTTCAACAAACGGGCATATCTTGATTGACTTTGAGATATGACAGGAGCAGAGCCTAGTGGAGAAATAAAGGGAAAAAGTGTGAATTTGATGCTAAATAAAGATTGACTATATTTTTTTTTTGACAGGCAAAGTGGACAGTGAGAGAGAGAGACAGAGAGAAAGGTCTTCCTTTTGCCGTTGGTTCACCCTCCAATGGCTGCCATGGCTGGCGTGCTGCGGCCGGCGCATCACGCTGATCTGAAGGCAGGAGCCAGGTGCTTCTCCTGGTCTCCCATGGGGTGCAGGGCCCAAGCCCTTGGGCCATCCTCCACTGCCTTCCTGGGCCACAGCAGAGAGCTGGCCTGGAAGAGGGGCAACCGGGACAGAATCCGGCGCCCCGACCGGGACTAGAACCCGGTGTGCCGGCGCCGCTAGGTGGAGGATTAGCCTATTGAGCTGCGGCGCCGGCCAGACTATATATTTTTAAAAATTAAGTACAATATGCTAGAATAGGAATAAAACCTATATTAAAAGATAAACTTGAAGTTTCTACATCTTTCTTCATATATTATCACTGAAACTAGAAAAGTTTGCCTATCATTTTTATTATACATACTTTTATAATGCTCTTTGTTCCTGGGTTATCTTAAATCCAAATAATTCTAGACATAAATTGTGCAATCTTGCTAAATTTCCGTAATGATTAGCTAGTGTTAAAATTCCAGAATAATTACACCTCAATATAATCCACTGTAGCTCTCCATAGTTCATTTGGGGTTTCTCTCTCTTTTTCAAACTTTACTTACTTTCTTCTTTTGCATTTGTGAATAATTTGGTCATCTCTGCCAGTTGGCAGTCTGCATCTTCAGACACCATCCAATGGCTATATTCTATCCCATAGATTGAGTTATTTAACTACAGGAGGTCTCATCTGCAATACCCACTCTTCTTTTCTCGGTTGAGTTATAAAACATACTTTTTTCATCAACCTCTAAAAAAAGTAACAGACTCCATTCTTACACACCAACTCAAGAATCCAGGATAATTTCTTATGTAGCATCCTTTAAATTCCCAATGTTTTCATGTCACAAACAGCTTATAGTGTATCCTGACTTCTGATAAAAACTTGTTCACTTCTACCTGTAAAACTCATCTGTCTTGATGTCTGACGGAAAAACTGCCTAAAACACACTCAATCTGAAACAAATGGGTGACAAAACCACTGAGAGAAACATGATCTGTTCTGTTTCTTACTTTCTACACACTTCTTCTTTCTCTCTCTCTCTTTCTTTCTTTCCTTCCTTCCTTCCTTCCTTCCTTCCTCTCTTTCTCTCTTTCTCTCTTTCTTTCTTTCCTTGAGAGAAACAGGGCTCCCATCCGCTAGTTCACTTGCTAAATGCCTCCAATGGTCAGGACTAAGCCAGACTGAAGCCTGAAGTCAGGAACTAAATACAGGTCTCCTAGATGGGTGACAGGAATGCCATTACTCAAATCATTACCGCTGCCTGTCAGAGTCTGCATCAGTAGGAAGCTTGATTCAGGAGCCAGAGCCAGCCATCAACCCGAGACACTTTGATATGGGATGTGGGCATCGTAAGTGCTAGGCTAAACACCTACTATTACATACTTCCTTGTGTCTTCAGTGACCTCACATCTAATGGAGCTTCAATGGATTACACATTTGAATTAAACAAACTATTGGCCTTTGCTTTTTGCCTCATGCATTATTTCTCTGCTTAGCTACTAATACTTATTTCTCCATTACTGTTCAAATTAAGTAAGTGGCAAAGCCAACAACCTCAAATAATCATTTATAAAAGCTATGACTCTCTATTTAAAAGTCAAGGATCTCTCCTAATTTTGCATCCAACATTTGCTCTTCAACATAGTTGTAAAAACATACCCACCATCACCCCCTCCTGCCTTTTAACTCGCCTCCTATAAAAAATTGTCAAAATATAGGGCATGTATTTTCGATTATTCAAAATTGGGTTTGGCCACTGCATTTTTTTTCCTTTTTGCTTACTGAACACTAGAACTTGGGGAGTGATGAATGAGAGATATTCAGAAGAAAAGCAGCATTTGATTACATGGCAGTAACAGGATTTTCTCTACATACTTCAAAACTGTTGCAAAACTTAGAGAATGAAATGCATTTTTTGATTGGAAATAAGTAGAAAAAAGTTCTATAACTTTTTTGAGATAACATATTTTTATTGCATTATAGTCAGAGGCTAATGGCTCTAATAAATAAAGAGTTCAACAAATAAAAACTAAAACTGTTTGCAGGAAAATAGGCAAAGCTATAAACAACAATCAAAGGAAAAGATGTTCAACTTCACTCATATACATTTTAAAACATTCAAAAAATCTTTAAAACTATACGACCACTTTGTTTTTAAGTACGAGTACCAAATTGTCACAATGGGAGATTTCAGTCTATTTTGTTTACTGTTGAATCTCCATACCTGAAACGGTGTCTTTATGCAGTCTGGTTTAGCTCAATCAACGTTAAATAGTTCTGGCATGTGGCATAGCATGTAAAGCCATTGCCTTCAGTGCCGGCATCCCATATGGGTGCCAGTTCCAGTCCCAGTTGTTCCACTTCCGATCCAACTCTCTGCTATGGCCTGGGAAAGCTATAGAAGATGGCTCAACTCCTTGGGCCCCTGCACCCACATGGGAGACCCAGAAGATGCTCCTGGCTCCTGGCTTCGGATCAGCGCAGCAGCTCCAGCCATTGCAGCCATCTAGGGAGGGAACCAGTGGATGGAAAACTCTCTCTCTCTCTCTCTCTCTCTCTCTGCCTCTGCCTCTCAGTAATTTTGCCTTTCAATAAACAAATTTTAAAAAATAAACACAATCTTGAAAAATAAACAAGTTAAATAAATGAAGTACTTTCCTCAAAAAAAGTGTTAAAACTTGTTTACTAGCTGTCAAACGCAGGTTCTTTCATGCATAAAATAGCATCAACTGTATAATTTGCCCCCACTTCCTCCTTTTACAGAAAGGCAATGAAAGAATTGTAAATTTTTACCTAAGAATCAAATGTGTCAACCTATTGGCTCTTGCTACCTTAAAGTCTTGGATAATAGTTTTTAGTTATTTTTAGATAATTTCTTTTGTTTCCAAATTTAAACGAAGCATTAATAGAAATAAATCACTGATTCAGAGCAGTAAAATGCATATTAACATCAAAATACAGTATGTAGAGATTGCAAACTAACCTTCCCAGAATACAAGCTAGATCTAATTTCAGATACTAAAGTATTATATTGATCCCATTTAGGAACCATCAAAGAAATGGGGAGAACTTGGAGAGTTGAAAGTCTGAACAGGAAGTCTGAAAACATTTGAAGAATTATAAAGTGATTCATGCATTCCTGATACTTAAAGAGCTAGAAAAATACAGCCAAGTTGTAACAATGGTTAACTCTAGGTGGAGGATTTATAGATACATTTATTCTCACTCATAATTCTCTGTATATCTAAGCATTCTACAATGCATATGTAAGACTAGTGAAGTCAGAAAGAAAATAATACGCATACTCTTTGAAAGGTGAAAATTATGTGATATATTAAGAAATTTTGAAGGATTAAGGTTACACAGCAAAAGAATGGAAGGCTCATGGGTGACCAATCTTCTTTAGAACCACCATTAACCTAAATCTATTGCAAAACACACGGAATGGCTTTTTCTATCCTCTAAAACATGCACACACACACACACAAAACACAGAGAAAGAAAAAAGGAGCACATAAACAATGTGAAAAAAAAGAAAAAAATGGAATGGCTTGAGTCAATCCAAACATTCACATTTTCACGGGATCAAGCAGATAGAACATGCAACCAAACTGACCTTCTATCAGGATAGGAGTGTCTACCAAGCTTTCCAGCTCCTGCTGGCAGTGCTACAACTAACAAACACAGCCAAAGGAGGTGGTCAACAAGAAATCCAACTGGCTTCACTCTTCAGAGCGAAATAATAAGAATTCCCAGCACCTACTGTGCATTGCCTACTACACTGAACACTTGA